TATATATATATATGTGTGTGTATGTGTGCATATATTACTAACTACTACTAGATATCCCTTTCTCTCTCTTTTTCGTTCTCCCATTCTTATTTTTCTATTCCGTTTAACTACTTTTTCTATCTCTCTCTTTACATTCTCTTTGGTATTCTCAGCATTTTTCCGCAGTATAGTCAAGCCCGCCAATTATCGAACGTCCACGTGTTTCTCTCTCTCTCTCTCCCTTTTTTTCTTTTTCTCTTTTTCTCCCGCCCCCTCCCCTTCCCCGTTCTCTAATTCCTTTTACTATTTCTTTCAACTGGCTAAAGTCATTTCCATTCTTGTTCCAACTCTCGATCATTCCTTTTAATTCTCAACGTCAACGTGGAAAAATAGACAGACAGATAGACAGACGGTAGAAGGAGAAGAAATAAAGAGTGAGGAAAAGAGGGGAAAAAGTAAGAGAAAGAGAGAGGAAAACGATTATTCCCGATTGGTGTTTACAACATCCGAAAAAGGACGAAATTCGAACGATCGTCGACCTCATTCTTCGTGTTTGTGAGTTTCAATTTTCTCTCTCGCTTTCTCTTTATACCTTTATAGCAAAAAGTGATCAAGAGTGAGTGAGAGAAAGAAAGAAAGAAAGAGAGAGAAAGAGAAATAGAGTGAGAGAAAGAGAGAAAGAGAGAGAGAGAGAGAGAGAGAGAGAAAGACAGAGAGGGGGCCGTGAAAACGTGCCGTTAAAGTAATTAAATTCGACTGACTCGATTAGCGTGAGAACTTTCCTGGAACTTTTCGAGTTCGTCGTTTCAATCCTCTCTCTCTCTCTCTCCTTCTCTCTCTCCCCCCTCTTTCTCCCTCTCTCTTTTTCCTCTTATTTCCCTTTTCGTCTCTGTCTATCCTTTTACTACGATTTTGAACGAGTAAGTGCAACGAGGATTGTGTGTAATGATAGTCGAAGGGAGTACGCGGAAGCGTTGAAAGAAAAGAGAAGAAAAAGAAAAAGAAAAAAAAGAAGAAAAAGAAGAGTACGGGGCTTGGGGTGTTCCGTTAAGTGATTGCAAAGGAATGTTACTACCACGAAGTTGAAAAGTTTTGGTATCGTGGTGCTTAGCTGGGTTTTCGATGGCCATTATGTCGTTTGGACTAAACTTTTACCGGTCTCCTAACGTTAGAAGGGAGACACCAGCTGAGACAGCTACGGAGACGTTTATGATGAGGATAGTCTTCTTGACTTTAGGATTTTTCCTTCTACTTACTAGGGAGGTTAAAGGTGAGTAGCCAGCTAACTACTAGTCAGCCAGCAGACCCTCTCTTTCTTTCACTTTTTTTCTATTTCACTAACCGACCACCCCTACCGTTACTCCGACCATCACCCGAACCATCAACACTGACCATCGTCATGAGTATGAATTTTAAAACGATACTTTTATACTGAACAACCCCTGTCGTTCGTCGTCTTCTTCATATTCACTACCACAATTTCATCCTTAGCAGAAGTATCATTAACCATAACTTCTACTCCTACACACAACTATCATCACTCTTAGTTTCTTATTTATTCTTATTTTTATATATCGACTAACATAAGATTTCTCTTTTGACGAGTATACCAAGAAGTACATTGAAGTAGAATGATGCTGGATAATGTGCCTTGCTTGCTTGCTTGCTTGCTCGACTTGCCTTGGTTTGGGGTGGCTCGTTGGGTGGAAAGTTTTCAAGTAAATAGAAAATAAATAGAAAGCGTGCTTTTCAAAAAAGGTACAACCGAGCTTAGACGGACTCGCCGCGTTGTATAAACAAAAAGTTACTATCCCCCCCTCCTCTCTCTCTCTCTCTCTGCTTTTTCTTCTTCTTTTCCTATTTCTCCCCCTTCCATCCCCCTCAACTTACTGTTATTAAATTGAAGCTTGAAAGCTTCCTCCAACTTCTCCACCCAAATCCACCCCCTCTTCGTCCTCTCTTTTTCTACCTTAGCCACCTCGCACCCATCCCCTCCTCCCCTTCCCTCACCTCCCCCTCCGCACCCCTCTTTCCCTTTAACACCACACAACTACTTCGAAAGTTTTCTCGTGTAATGCTTACGAGGATACACCCTTTCTTTTATTCTTGGATAGCACGAAAGCACCTCATACGATGCTCAATCGAGATGGAAACGAGACCACTTCCCTTCCGTCCTTAAAACGTTTCTTATTCTTATCTTATTTTTTCTCCATTTCTTTTTCTATTTTATTCTCGTTCCTTTTCTTCGCATTTTCCTTTACTTCCTTTTCATTCTATTTTACAACGTTAACTCGTTTTTATTATCTTCGCGTGAAAAATCCGCATTTTCGTATATACTTTTACTTATTTGTACTACCTCTCGTATAAATTCGCGAAAGTACCCACCCCGGTCCACGCACACACACACACACACATACATACACAAATGTAAAAGGATGAAGTTATACACGTATACATAGAAAGATATATATATAAATATATATATATATATGAGATGGTATTTATTCGGATTATATAAATTTTAAAGGCGACTCTCCAATTGGAACTTTCGATGTTTACTTCGAAATGCAACACACACAAGCAAAGTATCATCAGAGACGATCTCTTATGATTTATTCATCCTCCTCAAAGGGTGAAAGATCGTCTGAACATCTGGAAAGACCAATGTTTTTCCTCCTTCTTCACACTCACCAAGTTTCTTATATCTATGAGAGAGAGAGAGAGAGAGAGAGAGAGAGAGAGAGAGAGAGTAAGAAGTTCTAATAATTTATCTAAGAACATTACCGAGATTCTCTATTTATAACTTATACTTCTGCGATAGAGAAATGGGATATATTTTTTTGTCTCCCCTTATTTTATGTTTTATTCCAAGAAAATCTGATCTGTCTGACTTGGAAGGTAAAAAAAAAAAATGAAAGTTAGATGCATTATCCTTCGAGGAATAAATCTTTGAAGAAAATGATAAGAGACACAAAGTTTCTTTATGTATTATATGTTAATATATTTCTTTTATATGTAAGATTTATTTATTTTAATAATTATATATATATAT